GCAGACAAATAGCTGCATCCTGTATAGCAAGCAATATTAAGTCGTAACCAGCTGTGACATAGAGTAAACGTTAACATACAGCATCTACTTATAGTAAGAATAACAACAACAAACAAAATGCTTCTAACGTCTATTCAAAACTGGTGACCGTAGGACAAGCTTTCATTAAATTTCCAAATCGAAGACATGATTTTTGGTGACAGTGCTTACCAAAACGTTGCTACTCAATAGAAGTGTGATGAAAAGTTTGAAATGACTTTTGTATTAGGAAGGTCGTTATTCATGTTTACACCTTGTGTATATAACATAGATAGTTGCACTTACCAAGTTGGAACTGGCGGCATCAGAGTGCATTATTTTAACAAACGCAAATACATAAATGAACATATAGAGAGAAAGGGTTAATCGCATTATATATAGCAAAGTTGGAGCAACACTCTCATCTGCAAAGCAAATGATGCGATTGCGAAAGAGAACCTTCCCACTCAACAATCTGTTGTGATGAAAGATGGTGATTTGCTGTGATGACGTCAACATGAAAATAAACTTGGATTTCAAACTGACAAAGACAAATAAATCAGAAGTTCAAAAGCTTCTAGGGGATTCTTGAAATTAACAGCTATTTTCATGAAAAAGATGGCTGATGAAACTTGAATCACAGTAATCCCATTCGACCACATACCCGACAGCTTTCCAGATGACGTACTGATGGACTTTTCTGTCTTTGGTCTGCTTTAAACGTAGTATTGGAAGCCAACATATAAAGGAAGCATGAAATCTGGAGAATCGTTCTTATAAAATACAACTAAGCTTAAAAAAATATATAATAATCATAACTTGAATGCAACTTAAAAACTTAACTTTACATTATATATTTGTTTCTGGGTGATCAAGTAAATTTTAATACACTTTCTAACGGAATGTAGATTACTAACGTGGAAATATCATTACTATTTTACATTTTGTAGTGTCTAATGTATAGAGAGAAGCTGCGTTTATGGTATCATATACATGAAAAAAAAAAAGTAAACATTTTAATTCGTTACATTAATTGAAAATAGGCATCTTGTGTCTTGAAAAAATAAACCAGTATTCCAGGAAGACTTCATAGCTATTCGTTAGCTATAAAGTTAAGACTGTGGTGCAACATACAGCATTACTAACAGCAAAACACAAAAACATGTATCAGTTATAACACTCCAAGTAACACTTCTAAATTTTATTGGACAACCTAACGATAAAACAAACCAATTGGAAGCTTCATGTGCCACACTGAACTTCTAACCAATCAAAAATATACTCTCTAATATCATTTATGGATGGTCTCCTCCTATGGCATCTTATAATCGTTGCTAATAATACATGTATTTTTGCGTTTGCTTCTCTGTATGTCAAAAATAAGGATTTAAGTTTTTATAAGTTATATTAATAAAATTATAAAAGAAAGCGGGACTGACGAGAGGGGCAGCTGCCCGGGGGCCCGGCAGTGGGATATTCCGTAGCTCACTAGAAATGCATGCTACTTAATGAGTTAAAATGGCTACTGCTTTTTTTTTTGCCCCCCAGTGGCACAGCGGTATGTCTGCGGACTTACAACGCTAGAATCCGGGTTTCGATACCCGTGGTAGGCAGAGCACAGATAGCCCTTGTGTAGCTATGTGCATAATTAAAAACAAACAAACAATACTGCTTTTTTAGGGATTCATGAAGAAATTTATCCCCTAAACTTATTTTATGAAAAATCAGTAAAAGTCAATAAATAGAATGAAAGGGGCCCGATGATATTACTGACCACGGGGCCTGGGCTGGCTCTCGACGCCCCTGAAAGTAAGATACTTCATTATAAACTAGAGGGGCAATCAGTAGAGCGCATACCTCCGCCATGCAGCGTTGATCATATTCGGCTCTCAAAAAATACGAAAATGTGTCCATATGTCCGTTATCAACGGACACGGACCATTTTTGGCAGATCAATGAGGAATAATATTCTACATATGTCCACCAAGTTTCTTCAAAATCCGATCATTTTTGACTGTGTGATAGAACAAAATTAGTGTGAAAAATTGGTCCCCATGTTAACAGATAGGGATTTTTTTACTTTCTTGACCTTATGTTAATCTTGACCCTCTAAAAACTAAACACTTCTAATTTGGGTCATATTACAAATGTATACCAACTTTCGTCAAAATCCATCCAGCCGTTTTCGAGATATTTTGCTGACAAACACACACAGAGGAGAGAAAACATAACCTCCGTCTACAGAGGCGGAGGCTAACAACAACAAACAAATATTTTCGGGTGGAAATATTATTTTCTAAAGTGCATATACCTTTTTATTAAAATTCATTTACAAATCTTCACAAGACCAAATTTATGGAACTACACAACACTTGTTGATGCTATACGAATAATTTAATTCTGCGTTCGAGCTCATTTGCTAAACTCTTCAGTTCACAACCAGTCAATTCAGAAGTTGTAAATGCCGGAACACTGCTGGTTCAAGCTTTCTTGTAGACTACCCCTTTCAGGAAAGTCCTGTGAACTTAAACAGGCAAATGATTTTTACAGCTTACTGCTCCATCTAACGGCAAAGAGGAAACTTCAATGTAAGGGTGCTGAATTCTATCCATTAAGAGTGCAACTTTTGGTATATATTAGTGTTTCTGTTTGCAACATGATAAAAGCAGTATTTTTGCTGAAGGTAATACGCCAACAACATACCACTACATTCATTATAATGTTAACAACAAAAATATTACTAATACATCTTTACATAATTTTACATCATAAAGTATATCGTATCCTTGAGTAAAGCAAAGTTACTTTATAATTTTCTGGAAGATAAATATTTTATTATTTTTTCCTAATACCGAACTTGTTTTAGTCATCCAGTATGTTCTGGCCCGAAAATTAAACTACTGGTTTTTTTACCAAACTGGCCGGCTATTATACGCATTCACTACTACTTATTGGCTGTTAGATCGGGTAGGAAACAAGCTACACTTAAATGAAAACTGGAGAAAGGATCCTGCTATTTTGTTCTGTTAGAACAAAGGCTCTTAGTGCAGTATCCCACTATTCTAGTTTATCCATGTAAATAATAATTCCTTTGGCACATTAAAAGGAGATAAAATTTAGCTCATACCAACTTGTACAAATATTTATACCACCTCTCAACTTCACGCCCCCCAGTGGCACAGCGGTATGTCTGCGGACTTACAACGCTAGAAACCGGGTTTCGATACCCGTGGTGGGCAGAGCACAGATAGCCCTTGTGTAGCTTTGTGCATAATTAACAAACAAACAAACTCAACTTCAGTACATGATCCGCACTCCGGGTGAACGGCGAAAGAGGATTAAACAAGTACGAATTTCATAAAATGACAACTGTGGCATGTAGCCTTTGTTTAATACAGAATATTAGCGTAAACTTACGACCTACATTATACATACTATTTATGAAGATATCAATTAACAAAATGCAGAATACCTGCTGAAAATTGTGGAAATTTTACCTGAATAGACATGATTAAGTTTTTAGATATATTCGTTTCTATTTATAGAAGGGTGGAGTGGAACTGTTTTTTCAACTGCGACAACTTGACTACACATTTTTATCTGAAAAATATAAAAAGTAGTTATTTATGCAGTTCAAAAAGTTTCAAAACTAAAAAAAAAACATTGAATGTTTTTGACATTTTTCTTTAGTGAGGAACCGACCGAGTTGAATAATTAATTCAAATATGCAATAAAAAAACCTTTACCGTATACAAGTTCTGATTTTAATGATTATAACCTTTCAACTCACATTACCTGGTCATCATTACGTAAAAGTTACATTCATTTCAATGTAACTTTTACCCGATGATGACTTAATACCAGGCGTCGAAACGTTACGATTATTAAATCAAAACTTGTGTACTGTACAAATTGCTGTTATTGCATTTTGAGATTAATTTTTGAAATTTTATTCTAATTACTTGAGTTCATACACGTTTCTTCAAAAACAAATATTACTGTATACAGTATAGGAATTTTGTTTTTGTTTTTCTGCTTTCGCCAAAGGGTGTTGTGATATTTATTTTATAACAACTAAAATTAAATAAACTTTCAGACATGAAAAAAGCACTGTATTGCACTTGAGGAAATCTGAGTCAAAATCACATGAAAACAAATTAAACAGCATATAATACAAACTGTATTTATACTTGAGAAAGCCGAGTACAATTATTTAAATACTGTATTATTGTTTAGTTTATTTTTAATAAAGCTTATATAAAATGTCATTTAATCCTCCACCCCTGTAAACAGTATTTTAATACGACAAAAATGCAATATTTTAGAGATGGCGCTACATCATTTCACTGTTTCTGTCTGCAACGTCGACGTGTTTTAAATTGCGTGATTTTTATTGAGGTCTTGACATTTTTGCTTGTGTGTTCAATTTTCAAAAGGTTTCTGTAGTACGCATGGTTTTTATGTTATTTTGTAGTGGAGCTGCAGCTCTTTAAATTTAAATAGACAAAGCTGTATTTTGTGGGTAATTTATTTCTTCCATGTTCAATGTTATGAATTAATATCATTAAGATTAGGTTCTCACTAATCTGTTCTGTACAGTAGTCACTATAGTATAGTTAGTACTAGTAGTAGTAGTATTACTAGTAATGATGAAAATTTAAAAAAAATCTAAGGTTTCATTGAATATGATTTAATATTCTATCATGTGAAGTATACTATCTCTTTCATTGGTGTTAACATTACCAACCAAACAAGGCTATGTCTTATAAATCTCCTCATGAATAACCATATGGTTGCTGTATCAATATCATGTCACTTTCAATTATTACTTAAGCTAATGTCTTGACCAAGTTATTCTACTCTACTACTTCATGGATTGTTGAAGCAAAACCAACCATATGATATCTAATCAAAATAAAATGGAAATAACGTGCCTTGTCATAATGTTTTTTGGTTACACTATAGCACTAAATTACTTATCAACTAAAAAAAATTATAAAATGGACTTAAGTAAAATAATTACATTATTATTAAAGTCTGTCTGAAAAGTAATGACACAAGATAGAAATAATTTTAAAGAAATTATGATCATTTCATAAAGACCTAAGGTGTAAGTTATTTACATTTGTTTTTAATTAAACTATAATAAATTAAAGATCATGTTGTAGTTCTACATGCAAGCCTCGGCCTTAACGTTTGAAAGCACTACCAAATGATTGCTAGTTGGTTTTTTTTCCACTAACAAATTTAGGCCAATACTGTTATTTTTTAAACTGAACTGTAATTGTGGCATAATTCATTGTATTGTGTATTAAATGTTAATTAATATGTATATATATTCTGTGTCATGTTTTCAAGTATGTTTTAATATTAAAACTAAATTATATGTAGCAGTGTTTATTTTAAATTTTCCACAAAAGTTCAAAGATGCTGGATTTGAGTGGAAATTGGTTATCTAGACCATGAGCACCAACAAAGTCTGTAGTACCCCTCTCCTGATGGCTACCCTATACTAAAAAGTCTTTTATTATTAAAAGTTACAGTTTAAATAAGTGCTGAAAGCTGATGAAGCATTAAAGCCAGTAGGCCTACATGTGTGTTAATCAAGAAAATATTAAGAGGAATGTGTAAAAAACAAAAAAAAGCATGATTTCTATTTTATTATTACCTCCAATTACTAACTAGCAACCACTTGTGCATAGTATTTCTAACCTCGCTTCCACTGGCTGTGTTAATTGCCTGAGTAACCAATTGAATGAGAAAAAGCTGCATTCTTGCTATCCCCATTTCCTGTTAATTATCTTGGATATGTTGTGCAGGTCAAATGAAAATCACAACATCAGTGTGGTATTGGCAAACAACGCAGGCTTGTAATCAGAATTATAGTAGCCTTTACTGAATGTTAAAGTAAAAATTACTGAAATATATGTATTGTCAGTGTACTGATATTCAGCAGTAAGAATCTGTAAGTCTTCTTTCTGAAATGTGTACTAGCATTTATTTTGATGAAGGTTTCTAGGTTTTACTAGTAAAATTGCACACTAACCTGCAGCTTGGTAGTGTTAATTTTGTTGGATGTGTTTGCTTTTTCTGCTTGTTTTAAGCAGAACTTCCAAGAACTTCTGTTGAGGATGGTGTTTTGAAAGTCTTCCATCTTTCAAAGACAAAAGACTTTCAAAACATTGTCTTCTACACTTGTGTTTTTTCTACAACAGGCAGTTGCTGCCCATTCAAGTGTACTCATTATAAATACTCTGCCTAAACAATCTGTCAAAGAATTCAAGAACTTCTGTTTTTGACTAGGATCTATCCTGTTACATTCTGAGCATGTGCTACAAGTTCTAATAAATCAACAGAAGACTTCATTTCAACACTCCTTGATGCAAATTGTATTAATACTTTAAAGAGTTATATATAATGCAGGTGAGCTTCTCATTATCAGAGGTTTAAATGATGGCTATTAAAGTTTTTATTAATCAGCATTTACATTTCATCTAATAACTTAGTCATACTAAGAAATTTTAAGATTTTGTGAAATTATATCTGTAGTGGATATTCTTATCGTTATTAAATCGAAAAGTTTCCTTCAATGCTGGTCTTTTTAGTTGATTTTGAAAAAAGGATGCAGAGTAAGTGATCACTGTTCTATGTAACATGGAAAATAACCTAATATAGCAACTGAAGATTGTCATTTTGGTGCTACTATAGCATCCAATCTACAAAGATATTTACACTATAGCATGCGGCCTACACAGATACTATCATCATCACCATTTTAATGATTCACTAAAACATAATTTATTGCTAAATGATTTATATCTATCCACGTTTTTGTTCAGCAAATAATAATAATTTAATAAGTTGTGTGTTTCATAGGAGTACCTTAAATTTAGGTTATATATGTGCTAGTTTTGATTGTTGGAACTTATTTTATTCTGTTATATTAGCCCCCAAAACATTATCTAATGGTATTTTGTACTTTATTTGTTTAAAAGTGTTATTCATAATAATTGGCACCAATTGCAAATAAACAATAGTTAAAATGGTGATGATGATAGTACCTGTGTAGACTGCATGCTATAGTGTAAATATCTTTGTAGACTGCACGCTATAGTAGCACCGTCATTTTGTTGTATAATTTTATACTAACTAAACTATCGGGACTCAACTCTCCAAATGAAAAAAACTTATTTCCATACAAAAACTAAGAATTAATTTTTTCTGTTTTTATACAGAAAATGATAGGTATACGATCATGTAAACCTAAATATGTAACGTAAGGATACATATTTATTATGTTTGATTATTTCTTTTAGCTCCAAAAAGAGCAGGAATTGCCTATTGACATCCACACCAACAAACTGCTTGGTAAGCACTACTTATGAACTGAATGTATGTTATTTACTAAAGTATCAAACACAACTACCTGGAAGAATATGTATGCTTAGTAAAGGTGTACAATATTTAATTGAAGAACTTGTGAGTAGAAGTAAAGAAGAATGTTATAATATGTGGGCCTGGCATGACCTAGTGGCTAGGGCACTCAAATCGCAATCTGTGGGTCATGGGGGCATTATAATGTGGAGGAGTTGATGGTGGGTAGTGTTGGCTAGCTGCCTTCCTTCTAGTTTATCATTGCTAAATTAAGGATGGCTAGTGCAGATAGCCATTATGTAGCTTTGTGCAAAATTCAAAACTAACCAAGCAAACAAACATTATAATATGCTACCCACACTACATCTGCTGTATTCAGTGCTGAAGAGGTCTTTTGTCTAATACCAGGTCTCTTCAAACTGGTTAGGATACAGCTGACACAGTAGTGGAAAAGATGCTATTTATATCATTAATTATTTGAACAATGACTGTTTTGGTGAGAACTATATTAAGTCTTTGAATTGTAATTTTTATCAATTTCATATAAGTACAGTATTAGTAATAAGAATTAGATTTACGATGTAATGGTTGAGACAAAGTTTAATATTTTTTAATTCATAAGAACAAAAAATCTGTAAGTACAAAAAACACAGGTGTATTCATAACATTTGTGTTTTTAAACAAAATTTTTAAATTCATGGTACAGTGTTTATATAGATATATATTTGTGCCTTTTTAGTAGCATTAAAACCATTGGAAACATTCAGTTAGGCATGGTATACTGTAAAGATTTGAGCACTTTTGGCTTTTTCTATTTTAATTCAATAATGCATAAGGCTAATTAAAAGAAAAATACATTGAGATTCAGGAAAATATTACTTTTTAGTAGACCTTTTCAAGTTCTGAGGAATGATCTCCATTAATCTGAAAAATAATTGATAGAAAATTACATGTAAAATGTGGTATAAAGTAATTTTCATTGGAAGATTTTATCAAATATTATCAATTTACTTCTAGAAAGTTTTGCCTCAATTTAAAAAAATGTTTTATGAAATAAACTGAATATCATATAGAGAATTTTGTATGACAAGTATTAGAACTGTGTTAATCAAGATCTTTACTGTCAACCTTATCATCATTAGTATATGTTTGAAATTTCAGAATTTGTATTTTAATATATTTTATTTTCATCATAAATCTTAATTTTTTGTACCTGAGGTCATGCTATGAACTTTGAGAACCACTTCCTTTTTACACTAATAATGTAAACATAATATAAAATGTTAGGACAACAAGGGACCTGTTGGTCTATCTAGGTGGTCCCATCCACTAAACTAAACTTATAAATAAACCTTCTCATTGAAATGTTTATCAAGCCTTTCTTTAAATTCCTTTAAATTTAATGAATTCACCATACCTGAAGGCAATCCATTCCAAAGGTCAAATACCTTATTAATAAAATTTCTCAGACTAAATGCTTTCCTGTACAGATAGAAATTGCAAAAATGTAGTATTAGTTTCAAGTTCTGGATTTTATTCTTACAGGTATTGTAATCAACTTTTTTTTTTTTAAATTTATACTTAAATGTACTTCTGGTATTCTACTCTGACAAACATACATATTAAGCACCGAAGGCAGTTCTTGTGTAACCCTTCACCTTTCTTCAGACTTTCCAGTGTTTGGGTCCAATTTCTGGGGTTTTTCAAGGTTTTTATTTTGACATGCTAGATTTTGAGTCACAAAAAAAGAGTAATATATCAGAGTAATTAATAAAACTTTAAAATCTAGACCTAATAACTAACCAAAATATATCTTTACCATGATAACATATTGAATAAGAAATGAGTAGACTTATTGATCAGGAAGAATGAATACATGAGGATGTATATAATAATAATAAACCATAACAAGTGTATCATGTTTTCCCTCTAGATTGGCTCATAAGCAGGCGTGTCTGTAAACAGGAATGGCAGGAAAACATTCTTACAGTTCGAGAAAAGATCAATAATGCAATCCAGGATATGCCAGCCGTAGAAGAAATCACCCAACTTCTAGCTGGAACTTGTAAAGAACATTCTATAATATTCTTTGTATAAATGTTTCAGAAATTTATTAAAGTTTTTTTGTTGGTTCTGTAACTTTGGGCATAACTGCATTTATTGGGACTTTGTTTTTGATTTAATTAACCTATTTCAATCATTTTAATATAATTTTTGTTGCTAGTTTTATTTTACATGTCTTTATTTCTGTCATGTTTAAATGTTATGTTTTTTGCATTAAGTATATCTTACATAAATGCAGTCATTGCTTGTATAAGTACTTATAGTAAAAGTATGGTAATTGAATCTCAATCATTGTCATGATTAATAGCCTATGTAGTCTCTTAAGTCTAGTTATTAATTAACTATCCAGACAAGTAGATAGCACATTAATCTTCTTATGAAGAAGATTTAATATCAAGTCCCAGCCATAACCACCACAGACACAGACTTTCTCAATACATCCCTAAAGATGGCAGTAGACTGGCAACCAAAATGTCGGAATAAACTAGTTAGTAATTAATAGTTTGTAATGAAACAAATTTGTAACAAATTAATAATTCAATTTGTTGGTTATATAGACTGATAACCACAACAATGAGTGCTTATATAAGCTTAGAAGAGTAATAAATGTTGCCCTGTTTTGTGTTTACAATTTACTGTTTTAACTAGAATTTTTCATTACTATTATTCATAAAATTTAAGTAGGATTATTCAGAGGGTAATGGAAATGGTTCAGAGGGATAATACTAGGATTATTCAGAGGATAAAAGGGATATTTTATGGAGATAACAGGATGAGAAGACACAAGTTTAAGATTTGGAAAAAGATGGTCTGGTTGACTGATTGATAGTTTTGAATTAAGCACAAAGCTACACAAGGGGCTATCTGTGCTCTGCCCACCACAGGTATCGAAACCCGGTTTCTAGAGGTGCGAGTCCGCAGACATACCGCTGTGCCACTGAGAAGGCAGATGGTCTGGTTTCCAGTTAATACATTTATATTTTTCTAACAGGGTGACTGGCATATTGAATGTCAGCAGTAGTGGAGACCAGCACTTTACATGAGGTTAAGCGGGGAATTGATGATTTCCTGAAAAATAGGTTTAAATTTTTACTTTTCTCGAGAGTGGGTGTGCAAGGACAGCTTTAAATGATCGAGATATTCCTTGTTGTCCACATGTTATGTATAAGATGAACGTTAAAACACTTCACACCAGTATTGTAGGTCTTAGTCTATTTTTCATATCATTTTATATGTTACTAATGCATGTTTGCAGCAAATATTAATAACATCACTAATATAAAACTAGTCAGAAAATGGTATTATCCCTCTGAACCATTTCCATTACCCTCTGAATAATCCTAGTATTATCCCTCTGAACCATTTCCATCAGGTAAATTTCTTTCTTTTTAGATAAGGAGATCAGAACTACATAGAATTGTAAGTGAAGTGTAACTGATGACTTGTTCTGAGTAATAATTACCTCTTTTGACTTGTAATTTATACGTCAATAAATACACTCTGAAATTGTATTAGTTTTACTACCAACAAGAGACCTCTGCCTGAATGGCTTGAGTGACTTATCCATCACTATGTCTGTTTTTCAGTCATGCTATTGAGTTGGTTCCAATTTATATTAAACATGATCCACACTATGACAAGCCAGTGACATCATTATATTGCACTTCCTATATTTAAAGGTTACTTGCCAGATATTTGTCCAATTTCCCAATTGATCCAAGTCATTCTGTAATACATCAACATTCTTGATACAACTAGAAATATCCAATAGTTTAATGTCATCAGCAAACTTTACTAATTATGCCCCTGTCAATGTTGTTAATGCAAATAAAAAAAATTAAAGCCCAAACACTGACTTCTGAGATGTTACACTAGTATAAAGAATTCAATTTGACTAGACTTCATTAATGACAATGTTGTGCTTTCTGCCTTCTCACTATCCTACAAACCAATTAACTGATTTTTCCCTAACCCCTGTGGCCCAGCATGGCCAGGAGGTTAGGGCACTTGACTCACAACCTCAGGATTGTGGGTTCGATTCAGTGGGGACATTATAATGTGATGGCCAATCCCACTATTCATTGGTAAAAGAGCTGGCAATGAGTGGTGATGACTAGCTGCCTTCTCTCTAGTCTTTCACTGCTAAATTAGGAATGGCTAGTGCAAATAGCCCTTGCGTAGCTTTATGTGAAAATCAAACCAAATCAAAACAATCCCTTATCTCTACTATGGTGATTTTCTTAGCTTTTGTGTGATACCTTATCAAAAGTCTTTGAAAATCTAAGTACACTTCATTTCCACTGTCCAGGACTACAAGTAACATCCTTGAAAATAAATAACATATTAGTAAGACAAAATATCCTTTTAATGAATCCATACTGGCTTTCATTTTTGATGTCACAACTGTTGCAAGAACTCGTTTTGAAATTTATTTTTGTTTCTCAAAATACATTTCATCAGTTTAAATGAATACAGATTTATAAATTAAAGTCTGAATATTTATCCTTTATCACTGTTTATTACATTTTCCTTCAGATAGTTATTGTGTTCATAAGGTTCAGCTCATTCTACCAAAAACTTCTTTAACACGGTTTTTCTTAACAGCATGAAATGTTTATAGAAAGTAGTTGATTGACTGTTCTAAAAACTATAATAGTGTATGAAGTTCATGAACGGTTCTAATTGTGTTGTTATTCTATCAGTTACACACTTTTTTTTTGTCAATTAGATATATTTTATGCAGTTATACATACGCCCCTATAATAGTGTATGAAGTTCATGAATGGTTCTAATTGTGTTGTTATTCTATCAGTTACACACTTTTTTTTTGTCAATTAGATATATTTTATGCAGTTATACATACGCTAATTACAGCTTTAATTTTTTACCTTTCAGACATAAATTACTTTCATTGTCTACAAATTATTGAACTACTTAAAGAAACAGAATCTGACTCTAAGAACATTTTTGGTCGATATTCTTCACAACGAATGAAAGATTGGCAGGAAGTAGTAAAACTATATGAAAAGGATAATGTCTTCCTAGGTAAGTTTTTTATCTTTTGAGTGTTCCAAATTTCTCAAATATATTGAGTGTACTCACTCATGCTCTTACTGAAAATGATCATAAGTCTGAAATAAAGCATCAAGCATAACATTTATGCCCTTCTTTGGATGTACTCATTGGATAGGTAAGTTATCAGAAAAAATTTCAAACATCTGATGTGTTCTTACTAATAACAGAAAGGGTAGTGTGATATAATTAGGACTTGTGTCTATATTTTTTGAATTGTAAGCATTGAGTTAACTGCTTTATTATATGAAATTTAAACATGTTTCATGTTGAAGATGGAAATAATAGTTTGCAGTAGTTTAGAGCACCATTACTATTTTTATTAATGCCAACTAACATAGTCAGTGTTATGTCTTTGTTATGTTAATCTATTGTTTTATGATGTAGAAAATGTAAAATACCTTTTTATAACCTAAATAAAGACTGTCTGATAACTCTGCCTCTTTTTTTCTATCATAAATATTTTTTCTGTGTTTTGTACCAGTTGTTTTCTTTATTTGGAATTACTTAATTTTTTGCAGACTGGGAGATAATTTTGTTTGTTTCTATTTCATAGCTGAAGCAGCTCAATTACTGATCAGAAATGTTAACTATGAAGTTCCATCACTGAAGAAACAAATTGCTAAATGTCAACAAACACAGGAGGTAAGATTCAGTTTTTCACAGCTACAAAGAATACAAGTTTTATGTTTGGCTACATATGTGGACTTTTGAATATTGCTGCTATTAATGTTGCACTTAATAGTGTATATTGCGTTCTGATGTATGATGTTTTTTGAACATTTTGATCACTAATAATAAAATGTGTAATTCCTGAATTTAAAAAAAATTCTGTTTAACTTTTCTCACGCGTGTCTACAAAGTAAATCTATAGATTAATGTATCCTCATAACATTATAGCTATATTCAAAGAATTAGTATGCACTTTTTAGTTATTAGCTATTAACTTACTTTTGATCAAGTTATTAACGTTTTAATGTGTTTGTGTATATTGTTTACAGGATGATTACAAAGAAAACCTTACATTTAAAATGAAAATTATGTAGAGATTGGAACCGAGTAATAAAAGCGTAGGTTGGTAATATGTTGTTAGAAAAAAAGATGTTTGTGAACAACTTCTGTCACAGTTACAGTTCTTATTTATCTTTAATTCTATTAATAATATAATATCTCCATTCTAATAACTGATTTGGAGGATAATGTTTAGACACATTGGTGTCTTGTATTCTAATATTTCTTTCTTATCATTGTTTTTATTTTATTTATTTATGTTTTGTGAGAAACTACCTTCCCACATCTGGCTGCAGACAGTGAAAGGTGGTTAAGATGTAGGACATTGTGGGCTAGAGCACCCACATCTGGCTGCAGATAGTGAAAGGTGGTAAAGATGTGGGACATTGTGGGCTAGACCACCCACATCTGGCTGCAGACAGTGAAAGATGGTAAAGATGTGGGACATTGTGGGCTAGAGCACCCACATCTGGCTGCAGACAGTGAAAGGTGGTTAAGATGTAGGACATTGTGGGCTAGACCACCCACATCTGGCTGCAGACAGCAAAATATGGTAAAGATGTGGGACATTGTGGGCTAGAGCACCCACATCTGGCTGCAGACAGCAAAAGATGGTAAAGATGTGGGACATTGTGGGCTAGACACCCACATCTGGCTGCAGACAGTGAAAGGCGTCCCACATCTTTACCATGGAGGGCTAGAGCACCCACAACTGGCTGCAGACAGTGAAAGGTAGTAAAGATGTGGGACGTAGTGGACTAGAGCACCCACATCTCGCTGCAGACAGTGAAAGGTGGTAAAGATGTAGGATGTTGAGGACTAGAGCACACACAACTGCCTTTCTTTTTCTAAGCATGCGAGTCCGGCGAAGTTGAGGTTAAACTGGATAGACGGTATACCCCAAAATAGTTTGGGTCTTACTTCCATCGGTACCTAAAAAAAAATACAGGGCACATTACATAATGACCCACCTTATGATTTGTGTCCCGGTGTTCAATATGTATTTTGTGACTGCTAATTTTTTTTATCTCCGTTAAATTAAATCATATTTCATCTAAGGTTTGGATATGCTGTGTATAATTCACACTATCCTTTCTTGTCATGTAATCTGTATTATAACAATTTTTGTAGCTTTATTAAATAGTTATCAGAGAATTTGTATTTAATTGTTGTAAGTTCCCAAGTTTAGTATAGTACAGTTCTTTGCGTTTACTAAGTGTTCAGCTTCCAAGCCTAATATTTCACTATTCTCCTCGTTCAGAACATGTAAAAGTTATCAACTCTGGTAAAGTATTATTCTTAAGTTTCATGTTTCCAGTTGCCAAGTCTATACATTTAATACTGTTCTAGTTTATAATGTATGCATCTACTAATACCACTCTGGTGTTTCTGTAGTTGTCTAAGTTTCCAGTTACTAAAACTAGGATAAGAAAATATTAAATAATTAAAAGTAATCTTAAATAAACAATTTATAATTTGAAAATCAAGACCATGTTATTTAACAAAACAGTAATCCTACATTTATAGGGAATTTCATGGATATGCACCATTGATGCTACTATAGGGAACCAATTTGATTAGATTGACGTACAGAGGTGTTGTACGGTTCAAACAATGAAGTCCATGGTTAAATCAAAGGCTAATCTTTATATTGTGTGGAAGTGTATATTATAAAAAATCTCGCACTGTAGTACTATACTTATTTATAAATTTTACGAATTGATTATACTAGCATAATATTGTGAATTATTTAGCCGGACATGTTGTTTAATATACTAAGACATAAATGTGGAGCCAATCTATCATTCGCTGTACCAGTTGTCACCGAGTTGTACAGCTTTGGGGAGATTCCACCCATAATTACTGATGTAGTAGTATAAGTAATATTTTTATAATTGTTTTACATACAATAAAATATATCTACAGTTAATTTCCCTCTTACTAAGTAACATTTTTATAATTGTTTACATACAATAAAATATATCTACAGTTAATTTCCCTCTTACTAAGTAACATTTTTATAATTGTTTTACATACAATAAAAAGTAAGAGGGAAATTAACTGTAGATAACATGCTGTTAATTTGGATTCAACTTTCACTTAATTTTCTTTACTTCTATTAGATTGTAATTTGTATTTTGTTTTTTTAAGAGGTTTTTAAGATGGGTTTGTGTTATTAAAGAGTAATTATTACCAAAGCTAAAGGTCAGACTTATGAACAGTCTAAGGATATCCAGTAACAGAGTTCAAGAACCGTGAAAAATGTGTTTACCCTATACCAACCGTGCAAACTTTGAATGATAAAACATAACACAAGTTGTAGAGGTGGTCACCCTCATTGTCGAGATACTGTTAATAAAGTTCTTACAAAACATAGGTAAACGTGGAAACTTGAGGTCACTACTCACGAAGTAATGAAAAAACCGAAAGATATATTCAGAGAATATTCTTAAGATCTACGTGTAAATAAAAACAGTTGAAGAAGGAAATATATCTACTCCAGAAAGTGTTACCATGTTTTAGCAAAATAACAGAATTGTCACCTATGTCAACACTGTGTGTGTGTATTCGATATAACAGAGCTGTCCACATCAGTAATGCTCCTATACTTCTATGAACACTTGTAGTATGAAAACATGACTAAAACGGTATATTCTACTCACACTGGTTAATCAAAACTAGGAACCTAGCAGTGAGTGTGTCTTATTTTTTTTTGTAGGTATACAAGCTTTCTATTATCATATGCTGAGTTATGAATATCTATAACATGTTTACGGAACAGTTTAATTTACATTTAAAAACAGAGACACTTTGAAACATTTTGATTTAGTACAAAAAACACTAAATTTTCTTTAATAAAATCTTTAACCTGTACACAAACTGATTTCTCTGTAGAAACAAGATAAAACTATGTACATGTTCTAGATATTGTACAGTAGGATTTATCAGTAACAGAAAGAAATTAATCTTTCTATATGTAATCTTGCATTCAATATGGCACTCATTTACTGCCAGTTACGCTGGTATCTACACTTTCACCCAAACAAGATTAATTACAGAGCTTAGTGTTGTTAAACAAATACATGCCATTATTAGGGCCTTTCTTCTTTTGTACTAGATAATATCTGTTAAAATAAATACAGCAGTGTGTACTGCACATAATCACAACAAATCAGAAATCTTACACAACTTCATCATTTTCATGAATGCAATTAAATATACCTAAAAAATTAAATACAACAATTTATATATATATATATATATCAAATTCATTTTGTTCACAATGTATGCATGTTTGTTATATGACGTGATACACTGCACATTGTTTTACTCACAATGTATGCATGAATGTTTGTTATATGACCTGTGATACACTGCACATTATTTTACTCACAATGTATGTATGTTTGTTATATGACGTGATACACTGCACATTGTTTTACTCACAATGTATGTATGTTTGTTATATGACGTGATATACTGCACATTGTTTTACTCACAATGTATGTATGTTTGTTATATGACGTGATACACTGCACATTGTTTTACTCACAATGTATGTATGTTTGTTATATGACGTGATACACTGCACATTGTTTTACTCACAATGTATGTATGTTTGTTATATGACGTGAT